CCAAAGCATCAAATAAACTCTTGTAAACCTTGGCCAGAACAAGTGCTGGGGCTGGGTGGGGTGCTGTGCACTTGCAATGGAAATATTTGCAAGTCGAAGGAATGCTGCAAGTTTAAGGTCAGCCTGACCTTGTCTCGATAAAATGGGCACTCAAAACATGGCTCAGTTGTTAAAAGCACACACTGCTCTTGCAGAGGACCCGGGTTTGGTTCCCAGCTCCATATGGTGATTCGGGATTGTCTGTAAGGAGAGTTCTAGGGACTGGATGCCCTCGGCTCACCTCCACAGGCACTGCAGACATACATGCAGACAAAAAAACCCATATACATTTTTTCCATATATATATATATTGGGTTTTTTCGAGACAGGGTTTCTCTGTGGCTTTGGAGCCTGTCCTGGAACTAGCTCTGTAGACCAGGCTGGCCTCGAACTCACAGAGATCCACCTGCCTCTGCCTCCCGTGTGCTGTCCATATATATTTTTAACTGTATTTATTAAAATGACAAGCAAATCGTAAAAATTAAAATCTGTGTGTGGGTATGATAAGGTCTAAAGACAACTCCCCGAGGTTTTCTAACTTAAGAAGCTTTTATCCACTGAGCCATCTCACCAGCAATATCTTGATAACTTCTATGCGTATTTAGCAGCTACTGCTGTCAGACAGCAAAATGAACACACACACACACACACACACACACACACACACGCTCATTTGGTAACATAACCTGGGTTGTCCTTTTGTCTCTTAATTTGGTTTTTGGAAGCAGAGTTTTTCTGTGTGTAGAGTCCCTTCAAATATAAACAAGGGGAGGTTAGCCCTCAGGAATAACAACCTAAACTCAGTAGACTGTTCTGAAACTGAAGAATTAGAATGCTGGAGAACACACTGATAAGGATGTAAGAGAACAGCAAAGACTGAAAACAAGAGCCATCTTCTAGGGAAAAATGTCTCTTACCTTGGCAAAATCTACCCACAGCCCCAGGCTAAAAGGGCACAAAAAGCTCTGCTCTCTCATCCATGTCCCTTGTCTGTCCATGAACTACAGCTAAGGCAGAAGGGTGAGTGTTCCATTCAGACAGCAGTCAGGTGTCAATGTCAAGCTTCACCTAACCTTTTATTTTTGGTGAGATGCTATCCATGTTGTCCCAACAGTACTCAAACTTTCAGCGATCAGCCCCTGCAAGCATTAAGATTACAAATGTATGCCGCCACACCCAGCTTGGCCTCAGACACCTTCCCCACCTTCTTTTCCCATTTCACAACTGAAACTGCAGAAAAACTTTGCCCCATGGATTCAAAAGCCAGGGCAGTCTAGAGGCTAAGGAAAGCATGTGCTACCCTCATGTGTCCGCATTTTCACACTAGGTTTCCAAAGCCGTTGATAAAATATCAAAGAATGAGTGCCTCAGTGTCACTGGGTTCATCTCATGCCCCAGGGTCCTTTAGGGAAGACGCTGCAACAGCCGGGCAACAGAATACAGAGTATTTATTCTCAGGCAGAGGAACAAAGTCAGATAAAATTGCAAGGTGTTCCCAAGAATCTGGAGAAACTTGAAGATCCCTTAAATCTTCATTACCTTGGGCGGTATGGGCGAAGGAGGCAGTCAGTACAGTCTCTCCAAAAGAAAGCTGATTTCATTACATCTGTGGTTTAAGAATTTCTGAATGTTGACGACTCAGTCTTCAGACCTGCTTCCCAGCTGCGTCTGATCTTCAGACTACCCAGGCCTGGCTATTCATTCTGTCACAGCAGGATAGTGGACTATGACGCAGTCTAATCACTGGGTCTTCGTAGTTCCTACCTAGAATCCCATGACTCAGGATGCTAAGGCAGGACTGCTTTGATTTTCAGGTCAGTCTGTGTTTAATAGTGAGACCCCCTCTCTCTCAAACACAGGAAAAAATAACCATTTTGTCCTGTGAACCTTGACTTTCCTCTCGGCCAGGTTGAGCTCTCTTTGTCTTCCTGGTTTATCTCCTTCAGTCTTGTCAACTTGACTTTGGAGTCAAAACGTCTTTGTGTTGAGACAGGGCCTCATGGAGACCAGGCTGGCCTCAATTCTCTTTGTAGCTGGAGGACCCTGCACTCCTCATCTTCTTATCACTTCCTGAACTCTGGAATCTCAGCCATGCCCCACCATTCTAAGCTTTAGTCTTATGTCCTGGGCTCAATGATAAAGGGGGAAAGATCTCCAGGCTGCACACTCCTACCCAGCCTCTTGTAGCTTAGGCTGGCCTTAAACTCCGGAACTTCCTGCTTTCATATCACAAGCATGAACCACCATGTTCTGCCTGGTTTTTTTTTTTTTGTTTGTTTGTTTCATTTTGTTTTGAGACAGGCCAGGCTAACCAGACTTCAAGCTCTAATCCCTCTTGCCTCAGCTTTGGTAATGCTGGGACTGACAGGTGTGGACCATCACTCTTGGTCTCTAAGACCTATTGCCCTATTTATATCCTTTTCTTTTCCAAGATTAGGAGGATGGATCTACAAACTGAATTTACCGGCAGTGGTCTTTTTCTGGATGGTTAGCCTGTTTTACTGCAGTGAGGCAGGAGGTGTGTGTTTGCACACCTCTGCCAAGTGGGCAGAATCCTGGGTCTATGGAGGTTTCCCAGTTACTCATGTTAGAACAGTACCAATTGAAACAAACTAACTAGGTAATACTTAGCCTAAGGTATAACACGTGACTTAATACCAACAAGCACAAGGTGCTACATCCTTCTATAATCATTAATGTCTTAGTAACATGAACACTTCATAACATCAGTAAGAACTACGTCTCATTTTTAACCCAGCACTTGGGAGGCAGAGGCCGAGTTTGAAGCCAGTCTGGTCTATTACAGAGCAATAGCCAGGGCTACTGAGAAACTCTGTCTCAAAAAACAAACAGAAAAAAAACCAAATAAACAAAAGACTATGTCTCAATAACTGATTAGTTCTTATACATACAATCAATAAATGCTACTCAGAACAAATACCCCAGTCTGGTATGATGGTGACACCTGTAATTCTAGCACGCAGCACTGAGGCAGGAAAGTGAGTTTGAAGCAAAAATCAAAAACCCATTAAAACCTATTATGAAAAATAAACATCACAAAACTTTTCATTAGACAAAAACATTTCTTCCCTGAGCTACTCTCTTCTTTCCCTGAGTTTCTTTGTTCCTGGGTTCAGTTTATCATTTCATAAACACATAACTTTTTCTTGAAATCCGTCAAAGAATCCCGGGGCCTAAGGCTCAGCAAGCTCAATTCAGTCTTGGACTCCTGAGAGCTCTAAGCTGGCCCTGGGGGACAGGAAGTGGCAGGAATGAGTACAGGCTGTGAAGGAATATGGCCCACAGGGACATCAGTGACATTTCAGAGTCACCCACAATCTTGGGTCTTACCTTTTTAAAAGGTGTAAAATCCTTCTGGAGTCCTCCCAAGAAATTACTTAAGCTCAAACTAACACATATACTTCACAGACATCATGAAACCCAGTCAGGGAATTTTTAGAGGTCCAAGACACTAGGTTAAGAATGGCTGAGCTACACTTCCACCAGAAGCCACTGGAGAGTCTGCTGCATACCTTTCCCATCCTCTTCAGGCTTGGCAAGAGTCTATATACTTCATCAGTTATACCCTTGGTTTTAGTTATTTCAGGTTTGGTTCACAGTATTTAGGGAGAACAAAAAATTTCTCCTCTTAAGACTCCTAAGATAGATCAAAGTTGGCCAGGAGCATACAAAGAATTCTAATCAGTCAAATGCCCGTTAAGAGGAAGTAGCTGACCAGGCAGTCTGCTGGTCTCTCTGTGACATTAGGCAAACCACTCCCCTTTCCCAGGTGATGGAGCTGGCCTTAAGATACAGGAACAGAGAAACCGCCTCTTCCGTGGCTGGGGATAATAACAGTTCAGTGTAAAGTGCTTACCTAGCATATGGAAGACTCTGGATTTGAGTCCCAGCACAACACATACATGAAAAAAAATGTCCTAGAAAGAGGAATCACTCCACGTCCAAGTCTAAGAACTGAAGAGGATGCTTCTGGCTCATCTTAGCTCTGCTGCTGTCACTTTATGGGCACCTACAGCTGAGCCCGGCATGAGGACCTCTCCACGGCTACCGTTTGCTGTGACTACACCACTCACAGGTGCCAAGTAAGAAAGGAGCAAGTGCTTGGTGATCATTCTTGTCTTGGACAGATAAATAGCTGTGGTCCATGCTGTCCCTCATCACACAGCTTTGTATCCCTTCCAGGCACAGTAAACACAGATAATCGGAATCCCTTTAGAATCAAGATGCACAAGTCTGGAGCCGTTCCCCATCTCTGACAGAACTACCTTTAAGGCACTGCAGGCACAGCAAGAATGTCTGGCAACTGCTGACCACTCTAGACCTGTTTAGACTGGGCCTACCCACCAGAAACTTGAAGACAAAGTATTCACTGAGTTTCCAAATGTCAGGCAACCTTTCATTTGTCTGGCACTAGTAAGAGTTAAGGTGATGTTGCGAATTTAAAAACGATGGTGCAAGTATCCCATGATGCAGGCTTTGTGGCAAGCTAGAGCTACGACTAAATCTCTGAGATGACTTCTCCGTGGGTCTTTCAGAGCCCACTAATAACTAGATCTGTACTGCACAGATTGCTACCTGCTGAGCATGCTCTGAGGCACGAACCGAAATAGAAAGGCCTCAAAGGCATTTTGGTCCAACATAGTAAATCTCTTTGTGGAATGAGTTAGCAGGGCTCTGGTAACTCAGCTTAGCCATTGCACACAATTCCTAAGCAGCAGCTCATGGGCCAACTCCTCCAGCCATCCTCCTGGCACTAGGACTGGTTTACATACAAATCCTACTTGGGGATTCTGAATCTGTGTGCTCTCACTTCCACAAGGCTGGCCTGCACACTTGAAGTCAAAGAACAGCTAAGGTTTGTCATAAGGAATTCTGGAGATTTTATCGAGATTAGGTAATGATGAGAAAACACTGGACAAAAAATAAAATGACGGAACTTCTAAAAGGTAAATTTCTGTGTATTCATGCCTAATCTTCCAAAGTTGTGTAAACAAATTTTCTACCATCCCCCATCATTTGCACAAATTTCTGTCAAGTCCAAACGTAATTCTGAATGAGGTAGGTAGTCTCTACTCAGGCCTTGGTCTTTGAGGTGCCTGTCAAGGCCTATGCCATGAAAGCTCCATGCTCCCAGGCAGGGACAGTGCTGAGGGTGGTGCCAGTTGCTGGTGAAGCTTCTCAGTTGGCTATTTTCTCGATCTCATCCAAATCATCTGTGTCCAATCTTTCTATCTTCTTATCTGAGGGAAAAAAAGATCGGAAGAACACTGTGAACTATCATGGAAATGCAACGGACGTCACCCAGAGCAGCATGGCAGTCTGGGGAGGCGCCTCGCTGTGGGACAGTGATGCTTCCTCCAGGCACAGGGCAGGCTTCCTGAGCCTGAGTAGCTGGCAACAGGGCCCTGGTCACTGATACCGACTTCCCGGGGAGGTTGTCAGGTCCCCCTAGGCAGGTGCCAGGGCACTGATACTCCAGTCCCTGAGCCCTGAGTGTGCAGGTGCTCTCCCTGACAAGGCCCAGGTGGAGGCAGCATATGCACGGACAAAGGAAACCTCCCCTCTCCCACACTCCCCTCTGAAAAGGTTCCAGGCACAGCCAACTCAGGGACTCACTAAAATGCTCCTGGATTCTGTTGAGGATATTCATGCTGTGCTTGCTGTCAACCATGTTTACAGCCAGACCTCTCTTGCCAAAGCGGCCCGTGCGCCCGATGCGGTGCAGGTAGGTCTCGTTGTCCGGGTTCCCGTCCTTGTCCACAGGAAGGTCAAAATTGATGACGACAGACACTTGTTCAACATCAATACCTGCACAAAGGGGTTGGAGGGAGGCAGAGGAAAAAGGGGCCACCGTCAGCCGCACACACCCACTTCCACTGGAGACATGGCTCGGGCTGGTTATGTCTGGGCTGTGGGCACTAAAGAGGACGCCTACAGGACGGTAGCCTTGGCAGAAGAACAAAAAGCAAGTGTCTGGAGGCCTGAGTTTCTTCACACCAAGTCGGGACTGCTGGCTTCCTCCCAGTGGTTCCTACTGCCCAAGGGGAATTGGTCTAAAGCCCTCCCACCTCCATGAGACCAAGGATACAGGCACTTTCCTTGCTCGGAGGGCCTGGGACCCCAAGCCTGGGGAATGGGGCCAGCCTTTGCTCACCACGGGCACACACGTTGGTGGTCACCAGGACCTTCTCTTTGCCTTCTCGGAAGCGCTCAATCACAGCTGCCCTCTGCTCCACCATCATCTCCCCACTCAGCAGAGCCACCTGGTGGCCCTCCTTGGAGAGCTCCGCTGCCAGCCAGCTAGCTGTTTTGCGGGTCTGGAGTAAAGAGAATTGTTTTTTAATGAACAGACCTGTAAAACAAAAACAGAAACAAAGATACCTACAAAAAGGTGGTTTCTTGCCATTATGATATATGAAGACTCTAAAGACTTAAATGAGCCGTCAAGGCTTAAAATTTCTCACACGGGCCAGATAGTGTGGCAGGCACAGTCTTTAATCCTAGCACTCAGGAAGCAGAGGCAGGCAAATCTCTGTGAGTTCAAGGCGAGGCTAGTCTATAAGAGCTAGTTCCAGGTCAGCTAGGGCTGTTACAAAGATAAACCCTGTCTCAAAAAACAAAAACAAACAAACAAAAATCTCACATGGAGGGGTGAAAAGACGGCCAGACCAAGAGGACGGGCAGAACTGGAGTAAACTTGTATTCTAAACACGACAGGACCACTGGACTCATGAACTCAGGGCAGCTGTAAATGCCTGAACAAGGTCTAAACCACATCAGGACAGCCAACAGTTCAGAAGGCTTGAATGGGTGTGCATGAGCCACCATCCCTAGCTGAGAACTACCGATAACTGGTGGCTGCTGAGAGGGAGGATGAGGGTTTCGGAAGGGGGTGAATCCTGTAAGCTGACCCTACTCCACTGGACGGCCTGACACCTTGAGTATCGAGGCAGCACGAACTGGACTTGGTGTGTTGTAAAAGAAACAAGAAAGAGGACATAAAGTTGTAAAGGAGACCAGGGGTGGGAATCAGGAGGAGTTGGAGGGGAGTAGTAGGATCTGCATCTGATTAAAGTACACTGTATTGTATGTATGAATGAAAAAATCAAATAATAAATAAAAACATTAAAAAATGTTTTCCTAGGGCTAGAGATATTTCAGTGATTAAGAGAACACAATGTTCTTGTAGAGAACCTGAGTTCAGTTCCCTACACCCATATCATGTGGCTCACAACCACTTATAATAACTGCAGCCCCAAGAATCTGAAGTCTCTAGCCTCCAAGGCACCTGAAAACACATGAGCATATAACATACCACACACACCACATATTAGATAATACACAGTGGATAACAAAAAAAAAATGAAAGAAATGGCTTTAAAATGTTTTCTCAGAAGGAATTTTGGAGGCCGGGCGGTGGTGGCGCACGCCTTTAATCCCAGCACTCGGGAGGCAGAGGTAGGCGGATCTCTGTGAGTTCGAGACCAGCCTGTTCTACAGAGCTAGTTCCAGGACAGGCTCCAAAGCCACAGAGAAACCCTGTCTCGAAAAACCAAAAAAAAAAAAGAAGGAATTTTGGTCATATAATTCATCTGGATGAACTACTTGCTGTTACTTTTCCATGCAAGACTAATTATGTCTAGTCAGGTGTGTTGATGCACACCTTTGATCCCAGCACTTGGAAGGCAGAGGCAGGTGGATCTTTGTGAATTTTGGTCTACAGAGTGAGTTTTAAGAATCAGGGCTACACAGAGAAACCCTGTCTCAAAAAAACAAAACAAAACAAAAAACCAAAACAAACAAAAAACAAAGACCAACTACCTCCATTTCTAAACAGTCTATAAAATGTTTAAAAAGATGTAAGCATGTCTGGGAAATGGCTCAGAGCGTAAAAGGGAATGTTAGTGCAATCCTGACAACGAGCTCACTCCAGAGCCCATGGAAGTCTGATGCAGACATGTACAGGCTAGTGAACTTTGAGTATGGACTGCAGCAGCAAACAAGGCAGACGATGAAGACCCAGATCTTCTCTGACCACCTCACAGTGTTGTTCACACATGCACCCCCACACCACGTATTTGCTTATTTATCTATTCATTAGACAAGGTCTCTGTCTAATTAGACAAGGACATGGTTGGCCTGAAGTTTAATATGTAGACAATTCTGGCCTTGAATGTAGAGACATTTGCCTGCCTCTGCCTCCTGCTGGGATTAAAGGAATATGACACCAGGACTGGCCATATACTGTGGGATAATGCTTCTGTACACTGTTAAGATTTGTCACTCATATTGGTTTAACAAAACATTGATTGGCCAGTAGTCAGGCAGGAAGTATAGGCGGGGCAACCAGACTAGGAGAATTGGGAAGAGGAAAGGTGGAGAGTCAGTCACCAGCAAAACACAGAGGAAATAAGATGAAAATGCCAAACTGAGAAAAGGTACCAAGCCACATGGCTAAAGATAATCAAGAATTATGGGTGAATTTAAGTCGCAAGAGCTAATAAGTAATAAGCCTGAGCAATAGACCAAACAGTTAATAACTAAGCCTCTGTGTGTTTATTTGGGACTAAAAGGCTGCAGGACTGGGTAGAACAAAAACTTCTGTCTACATCCATATTTTTTTATTTTTTAAAATAATTTGTGTAGTGTTTGAAGGGTAGGGGTGGAACATGAACATGTTACTAAGCACATGAAGAAGTCAAAAGAATACATTCAGGATTCAGCTCTCATTTCCTATCAGGTGGGTCCTGGGAATCAAATTCAGGTAGTGATACTTGGCAGCTGTGGCCATTGAGTCATCTTGGCAGCCTAAGTAATTTATTTATTTATTTATTTATTTTATTATGTGTGTGTACACACATTCTTGCCATGGTATACACGTGTAACTTGTGGGTTCTGGGAATTAAGCTTGGTCATCAGTCATCCACTGAATTTCACTGGAATCCAAGACTGGAGAGATGGTTGGGGTGGAGTGTACTCGCTGCTCTTGCAGAGGATCAGTGCTCAGTTACCAGAACCTATGGCCCAAGATGCCAGCTCCAAGGCATAGAATGCCTCTCTGCTTTCTACAGTACCCACACACACACAAATAAGATACTCTTTTAAAACTTGTATAAACCAGATATGGCGGTGCATGCATTTCATCCCAGCAGTAGGCAGAGGCTGAGGAAGGAGTTCAAGTCCAACGAGGGTAGTAACATTTTGGCTCAAACAAAACAAAACAAAAATCAATGGACTTCCTTTTTTTTTTTTTTCTTTTCAAGACAGAATTTCTCTGTGTGCATGGTCCTAGTTATCCTGGAACTAGCTCTGTAGACCAGGCTGACCTCAAACTCAGAGATCCACCTGCCTCCTGAGTGCTGGGGTTAAAGGCTTGCTGCCACCACCCACCTTCAGTTTTTGTTTGTTTTCGTGGTGCTGAGTATCGAATCTAGAACTATGCATCTGGTCAAATATGTTACAACTGAGCTACACTGCTAGCTCATTATTTGGGATTTGGGAGATTTCTTTTAAAAGGATTCTCTAAGTATGATCAAGCATAATCAAGTATAATCAACTATAAACTCAAAAATCCAAGGAGACTATTGCCTACGCAGGTGGGTGAGGACTGTCATTTCCTGTCATTGCTGACACTCCCCTAGGTGCCTAGTCTATTCACTGACCTTCAACAGCAGGGAAGGGTAGTGAATATCCCCTGCAGGGCAGCCGCAGCTACTCACATGGCAGAAGATCATGGCTTGGGCGATGGTGATGGCCCCGTACAGGTTGCACAGGGCCTGGAACTTCTCCTCTCTGTTATTGCAAACGACATAATACTGTTTGATGGTGTCCAAAGTCTCCTCTTCACGCTTAAGTTTGATGATGTTGGGGTCTGGGACCACCTTCTGGGCAAACTTCCACACTGAGTCTTCAAAGGTGGCAGAGAAGAGCAGCATCTGGCAGTTTCTGGGCAGCATCCTGCAAGTGGAGGCCCAGGCACTTTGCACAGCTTCAAGCTTTTTGCCAGAAGGAACACAAGCCCAGCCTCCGCAGCCTGCATGGGCTGCAGCCCCACAGGCTGAGTGGGATACAGAGCATCCTGAGGAGGGAGGAGCAGACCGAGCGTGGTACTGGGCTGAGTGAGGGTCCCAGGTCTCCCTTCTCACCCCAGGCTGGGAGCATGCTGAGAGCTGCTGTGGAAATGGCCCATCCCACAAATACTGCTGCCCAGAGCAGAGCAGAGAACCCAAAGATGCAAGAGGAGGCTTTGAAGTTCCTACCTCTGGATGCGGATGCTCTGGTCTTGGTGGCCTTGAGTAGCTATCATCACATCAGCCTCGTCCAGAACAAACACCTTGATCTTCTTGGGGTCAATGAACTTCAGCTTGGAGCACCAATCCAGGACAGTCCCGGGGGTGCCAATGACAATCTGCTCACTGACCTTCTGACCTCTGTCCACTGTGGAAAGACACGTTTTCTTCAGGTATTACAAAGGAAAGCCAGCTCTCTATCATGAGATATTTTGTAACTACTTTGTATTTAATACTAATGACTTTCTGTTCATATTTTAAGAAAAAAGCTTGATGTCACTATAATAACTAATGGGTATACAGCTAACCAAATTTAGAATTAGTGAAATCATATGTTAAGGGTATAAGAAAACATGGTAAAAGTGATAAAATAAAAAAGGAGGGCTGGAGGGATGGCTCAGCGGTTAAGAGCATTGCCTGCTCTTCCAAAGGTCCTGAGTTCAATTCCCAGCAACCACATGGTGGCTGACAACCATCTGTAATGAGGTCTGGTGCCCTCTTCTGGCCTGCACACAGACAGAATATTGTATGCATAATAAATAAATAAATATTAAAAAAAAAAAAAGGAGCCAAGCATGGTAGTGGATGTCTATAATCCCAGTACACAGGAGGCTCAAGTAAGATTGTAGGGCAAGACCAACCTAGATTTCCAACTAAAGAAAATTTTGCAGCCGGGCGATAGTGGCGCACGCCTTTAATCCCAGCACTTGGGAGGCAGAGGCAGGCGGATCTCTGTGAGTTCGAGACCAGCCTGGTCTATAGAGCTAGTTCCAGGACAGGCTCCAAAGCCACAGAGAAACCCTGTCTCGAAAAAAAAAAAAAATTTTGAGTACCAATGGGGCAAGGGTAAAGCAGAAGTTAATTTTCTAGGGAACTGTTAAATTTCTAGGTTGTAACAACGGCATATAATTATATAATGTCCACATGAGGTCCATACTAAAAGAATTTAGGAAAAATGAATTACAACAAGACAATTTACTTTCAACATTTTAACAAAAATGTACAAACATATCAATAAAGAAAAAGCGTCAAATGTTAAGTTTCTAAATCTGGGTAGGGAGCATAGATGTGTTCATTGAACTGTTTTAACTCCTGGGCATGTTCAAAATTAAAAGAAGCTCTTATATTTATCTATGACCTAGCCCACATATACTCACATTTATTGCCTCGAACAGCATAAGCTAGCTTCAGTTCAGGGTAAAACCTGCCCATCTGTTCAATCACCTTTCCTGTTTGAAGAGCAAGCTCATAGGTTGGAGAGAGGCAGAGACACTGGAAAGAAAAACGTGCAAAATGTTTACAAAAGTCTGTTTGGCTGAGGGAGTCCACATAGGACCTACCCATCCATTTGGGGTCACAGTAATGAATATATACAGTATAAAATATTTGTCTTTATTGTTTCTCTGTTTAACATTCCTGGTTATCCTGGAACTCACTCTGTAAACCAGGCTGGTCTCGAACTCACAGAGATCCCGTCTCTGCCTCCGGAGTGCTGGGATTAAAGGTGTGACCCACCACTGCTTTACCATAAAAAAAACAAAACAAACAAAACAAAAAACAAAAAAAACCTTTCAATTTGTATTTATGTGGGTATTTTGCCTTCATGAAAGTCTGAACCAAGTATGTATAGTGCTTCAAGAGGCCAGAAGAGGGTGTCAGGTTCCCTGGGGCTGGAGTACAAGTAGTGACTATCATGTGGGTGCTGGAAGTTGAACCCAGGTCCAGTGGAAGAGCAGTCGTGCTTTTTTAAAAAAAATATTTATTTATTATGTATACAATATTCTGTCTGTGTGTATTCCTGAAGGCCAGAAGAGGGCATCAGACCTCATTACAGATGGTTGTGAGCCACAATGTGGTTGCTGGGAATTGAACTCAGGACCTTTGGAAGAGCAGGCAATGCTCTTAACCTCTGAGCCATCTCTCCAGCCCCTGAGCAGTAGTGCTCTTAACTGCTGCGTCATCACTCCAATTACATCATTATACTTTTAAACTGCTGGGTATACACTAGAATTATTAGTGGTCAGATTATGGCTAGGTAAAGACACTTGAAAATAGGGATGGCCAGTCAGGCATGGTAGCAAACACCTTTGATTCCAGCATTTAGGAGGCAGAGGCAGGTAGATCTCTTAAATTCAGTGCTAAACTGTTCTACAGAGCAAGATCCAGAATATCCAAGGCTTCATGGGTTTCATAATGAAAACCAATCTCAAGAAAGAAAGAGAGAGAGAGAGAGAGAGAGAGAGAAAGAACGAACTGAAGAAAGGAAGAAAAGAAAAAAAAAGAGCAGCATCTGGCCACTGGAGCACAAAACAAAAACTTGCTAGTTACATTTTGTTGGGTTTCTATGACAACACCTGTACCTTTGAGAAGGAAAGGCTTGTGTGCAGAGTGCTGAGGAGGCTACAACTGTAAAGCATGAAGGATGTGGTCACTGCAGCTGCAGTCAAGAAGCAGAGAGGTGAATGTAGCTTCTTCTAATACCCCTTCTAATTTAGTCTGGGATGATGCCATGCACATTCAAGGTAAGTTTCCTTCCTTCAGTTAAACTTACTTGGAAACACCCTTACTGACTCACTCAGAGGCTTGTGAACACCCCAGGGGATTTTAAATCTCATTAAGTTGTTGAACAGAAGTGAAATTTCAACTACAGATTAGCTTGTCATTTAGAAAATTCTCAGAACTTTTTCTTCTTTTTCTTCCTCTCTCCTATTTGGGGGCAAGGTATTGTTACATAGACCATGCTGACCTGGAGATGAGATGACCGTATAGCCCAGGATATCCTTAAAAAATTCAAGCTCAACATGTCTCAGCTTCTCAAATTCTAGGACTACAGGGATACACTACCATGCCTGGCAGTTGTTAGAACTCTCTGACCTATGAGAATTGGAATGAGGCTTTTCCTGCATGTAAAAGCATCAAGCTTATTAGTAGTCTAGGACTTGCACATTCTATCTGTGTTCAATTTGAGTTCTGGTTTATATAAAAATGAATCAGGACAGATGTGGCATCTCATGCTTATAATTCCAACACAGGAAAGGCTCAGGAGGATTTCTGGATGCTCATGGCCACCCTGAATTACATAGTTTCAGTACAGCCTGAATTACAGAGGAGGAAGAAAAGGAGGTGGAGGGAGACCCTTTATAAAAAAACAAACAAAAAAAAAAACCTGATAAAAGCTTTTTGGTTTGTTTAAGATGAGTATATAATGAAAATTTCATAGCTATATAAAAAGGAATACTCCTCAAAAACTGTAAGAAAATGGATGGACTTAGATTGTATTAAGGAAGGTCATACACCTGAAAGGAAACAAACGAACTTCCTCTATTTTCCCATGGGATCCTAGTCTATAATGTGTATCTGTAAACAAATGTACATGTGGATACAGTGTAACATGTAGAATATATGTAGAATAATGTGTGTCTGTAAAAAATGTGCCTGTGATACAATATAGCATGTGGAAAGGAGAACTAGAAAGGTAAACAGTGGACAATAGAAGGACAGAATTTAAGCAACAGATTTCAGGACAGCTAGGGCTTCATAATAGAGAGACCCTGTCTCAAAAAACAAAACACTATGATAGTGAAAGCATTAAGGACCTGGATTTTATTCCAAGCCCCCAGAATGAGGTTCACAACCATCTATAACTCAGTTCCAAGGGATATGATGCATTCTTCTGGCCTCTGCAGACACCAAGCACAGACCTGGCCCACAAACATACCTATATATAGGCAACATAAAATTAAAAAAAGAATTAATCCCAGCACTCGGGAGGCGGAGGCAGGCGGATCTCTGTGAGTTCGAGGCCAGCCTGGTCTATAAGAGCTAGATCCAGGACAGGAACCAAAAGCTACGGAGAAACCCTGTCTCGAAAAATCCAAAAAAAAAAAAAAAAAAAAAAAAAAAAATTAAAAAAAGAAAAATCCAATGTAAGCACCATAGCTTGAGAATTTTTCCTTTTTTTCCTTTTCCAAGACAGGGTTTCCCTGTGCAGCTCTGACGATCCTGAAATTCTCTGTAAACCAGGTTGGCCTGGAGCTCAGAGATCCAACCACCTTCCTCTTGCCTCCCAAGTGTTGGGATTAAAGGCATGTGCCACCACTGCCCCTAGATTGATTTTTCTAACTGTATAGAAATCCACTGAAATGTAGAATTTGGGTTTGGCTAATCTCACTGCATAATGATTTTTATCAGAAAGTTCTTTCGATAAAGGTTATTTTTTCTATTTTTGACATTATAATTACACCATTTCCCTTCGTTTCCTTCCTCCAAATGTTCCCTTGTACCCCACCACCTCTACTTTCCTTCAAATTCATTGACTCTGTCTTTACCCGTTGTTAAGTGTGTGTGTGTATTCCTAAATAGATAAATATAACCTGCTCAGTCCAGTTAGTTGTATGTATATATTTCAAAGCTGACCATTTAGAAAGAGAAGAAAAAGCCAGTCAGTGGTGGCAGATGCCTTTAACCCCAACACTCAGGAGGCAGAGGCAGGTGGATCTCTGAGTTTGAGGCCACCCTGGTCTATAAAGTGAGTTCCAGGATAGCTGGGGCTGTTACACAGAGAAACCTGTCTTGGGGGGTAAAGGGAAAAAGAAAGAAACAAAGGGAAAAAAAAGAAGACAGGGTTTTACTTTGTAGCCCAAGCCAGCCTGGAACATACTACATAGCACATGCTACCCTCAAACTCATAGCAACCCTCCTGCCTCTGCCTGTCATGTACTGAAATTACAAGTGTAAATAACTTTGAATACCTGGCTTTTAGCCCAGGAATACTGTTACCCCCTTTAGGTTATATGCTAATAGGAAGCCCAAAGTCCCATAGTCCTTACCTGTGGATATCTGTTTGTTGGCTCTACTTGGCTGAGCATGGCCAACACAAAGGCAGCTGTTTTACCAGTACCAGACTGAGACTGGGCAATTAAGTTCTGTGGGCTGCACAAGAGAAAAAAAGTTTAGAAGCTCCACCGTCAAGTAAGATTGCAAAGGGCTAGAGAGTTGGCTTAGTGGTTAAGAACATTTGTTGCTCTTGCCAAGGACCTGAATTGAATTCCCAACACCCACATGGTGGTTCACAACTGTCTATAATTCAGTTCCAGGGGATCTGATACCTTCTTCTAACATTGTTTAGCACCAGGTAAGTAGCACACATACATTCATGCAGGCAGAACACACATAAAAGAAACTTTTATAAAACTTAAAAATGACCTTTTAGCCAGGTGGTGTTGGTGTACGTCTTTATTCCCAGCACTCGGGAGGCAGAGGCAGGCAGATCTTTGTGAATTCGAGGCCAGCCTGGTCTACAAAGTAAGTTCCAGGACAGCCAGGGCTACACAGAGAATCCATACCTCGAAAAAAAAAAAAAAAGAAAAGAAAAAGAAAGAAAAAAACGAAGAAAATATCATAACAAAATTCAACTGTCAATTAATAAATACAAATTTTAAAAAAGGAGTAGCCAAAATTTGAAAAAATAAGAGTCAAGACTAGGGATGTGTCTTCTCATCACAAGTAGAAATAAGAAATTTAGGGAGTTGGGACTGTGTCTCAATTAGCAGTCTCTAATTAGCATGTTTCTCTAGCATGAAGCGAGCCTTAAGATTAACCCCATCGTAGTATAAACTTGGCATGGTGGTGCATGCCTGGAATCCTAAACTTCGGAGGTGAAGGCAAGAGGATCAGAAAATCAAAACCTTTTGAATTTCTCAAAATTCTCTTTAGGTTTGAAGAGAAGGCTCAATATTTACAAGTACTTGCTGCTCTTCCGAGAGATGTCAATTTGGTTCCCAGCACAATGTCCCAGTATTCTAGGGGATGCTAACTCCCTTTTCTGGTATCTAAGGGCACCTGCACACATAGTATACGCTCAAACAGGTGCATTAAAGCATTACAAAAGAAATAGTCAGCAGGGTGGTAGTGGATGCACTTTTAAACCCAGGACTCAGGAGGCAGAGGCAGGTGGATCTTAGTGAGTCTGAGGCCAGCCTGGTCTACAAAGCAACTTTCACAACAGCCAGAGCTACACAGAGAAACCCTATTTTAAAGGAAGGAAGGGAGGGAGGGAGGAAGGGACGATCATCTTCAGCAATATAAGAAAATATAAGAGCTATACTGAGATTTTTGTCTCAAAATAACACTGTCACCAAAATCAAGCTCACATTCCATCAAAAGGAAGCAAAAAAACATCAAAAAGATCTATTAGTAGACAGATACACGAAAGACTAATAAAATGCTAGTGATAGAATCTAGGTAGTAGCTACATGGACATTCCCTATAAAATCTTTTCAAGTTCACTGAAAGTCTTAAGTTTTCAGAGTAAAAATAACAAAATGGTCAGGAGGCAATAGTGCCTGCTGCCCAGCCTGACGGCCTGTGTTTGATTTTCTGGGAACCACATGGTGGAAGTTTAGATCCGACTCCCTCAATTTATCCTCTCATCTCCGTAGACATACCAGGGTGTGCATGCATGCCCATGCTCGTGTATGCAGGCACACGTGCGCACGCGCACACACACACACACACACACACACACACACACAATGTAATAAAATCCTTTTTTAAAAGCCAGACAAATAGCTGGTAGACATTTTTGTTTTTAATTGCTGAATCTGCTCTTGAATTCACCTTGCAGCTTGAACAGACCTTCAACTTTTTATCGTTCTCTCTCAGCTTCCTAAATATCTGGGATTATTAGGCATGAGCCAACAGGCTTAATTTAAAAAAAAAAAAAAGAAAAGAAAAGAAAAGAAAAGAAAAGAAGCAACAGATAGGGCAATCATATGAAGTTACATACGGTTCAGCAAGCATCAAAGGCAATGCATTCTCTTGTATTTTGGATGGGCGGTTGAAACCCATAGCATAGACTCCCTGGAGAAGCTGTGGTTTCCTAGAAGAACCATTAGAGATGAAAGTCACTTAGATTGAGGAACACAGCAAAGTACGTAGGAGACAGCTCTTCTCTTTCTCACTGGTACGCATAACATCAGCTGAGAATAACTAAACACAACATGAGAATGCAGCTAAAGCTCTTACAGATTTCCTCAGTATTTTATAGAACAACCTGAAGAGACTAAATGCATATTATTTACCTCCTGTAGGTAAAGATAATGCTGTATAAAAATAAGTATAGGCAGGCCGTCATCTGTATCTGACTGCAGAAAGAAATGGTACTCACAGACGAAGCTCTTCGAAAGACTTCACTGAGTAGAGAGGCGAGCTTGGGTCCCTCTGCAGGACTTCTACTTGGTTGGTGTTATCCACAAGATTGCTTCTGATCAGCTTGTTGAGCAAAGACTGAGCAGCTCTGTCCTCTGTGAAGAAAGAGTACAGGAGTGCTTAAAAGTCCATGAATTTAAGTTATAGGTATTTTAAGTAATAATCTAGGCTTCCAAATTCAAGTACATCAGTTCTGATTTTAAAATATAATAAAAATGGGAAATTTTTCTGAAGCATAAACGATCAATTCTTTTTGATTCTGATTAAATTAAACTTTACCCCTGCACAGTGACACCTATTCAATGTTGAGTCGAACAGTGAAACCTCACGCTGGCAAGAAAACAAGAGGATCCTAGGACTAGCTGGCAGGCAGTTTGGCTGAGTTAGTGAGCTCCAAGTTTAATGAGAAATTATCTCAAAAAATAAGGTGGAAAGAATGATGGCATTGGCCTTTAATCCCAGCACTAAGGAGACAGAGGCAGAGGTAGGCAGATCTAAGTTCCAAGCACATGTGAGTCCCAAGACAGGGCTACATAGAGAGAAAAGCACAAGAGGTGGACAGGGACTGAAGCAGATACCTGACGCTAATCTCTGACCTCCATGTGCAAATGCGCACCCCCGCCACCCCACCCACCAAAGTCTCAAGCCGGCTGTGGTGGCACATGCCGGCAATTCCAGCACTCAGGGCTAAAGAAAGAAATTTAGCACAAGTTAAGAGCTAATTCAACTGCATAGATATTTCCAGGCCAGCAAGGGCGACAAATTGAGATCTTGTCTGAAAAACACCTTAGTAAATGAATGAATAAATAAAACCTTGTCATAACGTTTTTTCTAGAACATGGAACCTCATTTACAGAGCTTGAAGGCTGTATTACCTTTCTCCTCTTCATCTGTTTTCTCTGTATGAGCGTTGGTTTTAACAGCACCTTGATTAGATAAAAAGTAGATGTTATTCAAATCTCATCCCATACCTAGCAACTAAGGCAATTCTAATTCTAGGGGCAACAAACAAAAAAAGGAGGAAACCAAGTCACTACTAAAACATTTATTCTAAATAAAGTTTAGAGGGGCTAGAGAGATGGCTCAGTCGTTATAAGCACTAATTTTTCTTCCAGAGGACCTGAGTTCAATTCCCAGCACCCACAGGGCAGTCTTTAATTCCATTTACAGGAGACCCAACATCTATCGCAAAACACCAATGCACATAAAATAAAAATAAATAAATTAAAAACAATGTTTAGAAACACTGCTTGAATGTGATTATGTCTAGGCCCCCTTGTACTATTTTAAAACTTGCCTAATTCTGCCACAGCAATGGCGTTTCTGAGACAGTATAGAATGGTGACTACAGCAACACTGATTAGAAAGCATCTTTGTGCTCCACAAAATACCTGCAAATCATATTCTCAGTGGGAACACGACGCCATAAAAATTCCATGTAAGAAGAATATTGACTAATAGAAAGATATAATCAAACAACATTGTAATTATGTAAAAATATACAGAAGATTGTAGGTGTCTTCAGAGTGAGGTAAATGTTAACATTGCTCTGATCTTGCTTCTTGTTTGTTTGTATTGTAGTTCTTGGGAACCTAGGGCCTTGTTTGTGTATGCAGGCAAGCGCTTTATATTAAGCTAAAGCCCGACTCCTCCACCTTACATTTTTTAACAGATGTAAATTCAGGACGATAAACTGACAAGTTGCTCAAACTTTATGTGCATCTCCCTACAAACTGAACAACAGTTAAAAAATCATCTCTGTCAACACAGCCATATTGTAAGTAATAAACTGTAATTTACATGCTAGATAAATATTCTCATCCTCTTATTAGACATTCTTGAATTAAAGTCGTTTATGGACACCCAAGTCAAACAAGTATCAGTATCCACTAGCCCTTTGTCTAGTATAAATGCAGGAATTTTCCAAGTAGCTGCTATATTAAAATAGAAATATCAAAGAGAAATCACACTTGTTTTCAGACTAGATTTGATTACTCACCATTGGCATCTGGTTTGATTTTCTCTTCCTTAAGATGCAAGTTGCTCAACTAAATGGAGAATATGGGGGAAAGAGAAAGTGTCAGGAAAAATCACGTAAAAGACTGAGTCAACAGAAACCCCTAATGAAAGTGGAGAGACGATTCTCAAGACCGACTCACTAGGTGTATTCAGTAGAAACGATTCATTAGGCTGTTCTGCTGGGCTCCTTTCACTTCTAAATGGTCGAAAGAGAATAACACAATCTCCCATAAATACAGCAGTAGGAAAGAAAAAAAAATATACGGTATATAACTCACATATCCTAATTACAATTTCTAGGCAGAATTATAATTTGTAAGTTTGCTTAACGCTTTGACTTGCAAATACTTTCTCGGGAAAACATCGTTAGAGCTGTCATTTTCTCTGTGTTCTGAAAGAAAAAAAATTCACAGACTGAAAAAATTTCCACTTTAGACAGCCAACACCAGGCAGGCAGGATCACCAGGCAGAGCAGCTGTGATACAGTCAGTCATGTGGCAGGTCTACACCAGACCACGACAGCTAACACGCAGCCTCACCTTCAGGCTGCTTTGTGTTGGGCTCTGACACTTTAACTAGCACATCTTAGAGCACTGTGACACCAGCACAACCAAATTATCCACAACAGGTTCAAGTGGGCCTAGATCAGAGAAATGTCCCATGGCAACAATTATCAGGACTTTGTCAAATGGCAGAAATTTAGAAATAGCCTGGTATGACTTAGGTTCGCCCATAAGAATGTAAATATCTTAATGGGGATCGGGGGAGATGGATCAGGGCCATCTAGCTGCTCTTCCAGAGGTCCCAAGTTCAATTCCCAGCGACCACATGGTGGTTCACAGCCATCTATCGTGGGACCCAATTCCTTCTTGTGGCATACAGGACTGAGTGCAGGTAGACAAACACTCATAGACATAAAATAAATACTCTAATGACTGAGTGCAGGTAGACAGACACTCATATACATTGAATAAATACTCTTAATGACTGGGAACATGTAGACAGACATTCATAGACATAAAATAAATACTCTTAATGACTGGGAACACTAATAATATACATAAAATAAATACTCTTAATGACTGGGGACATTTTTATTTGTATCTAGCACAAAGCAGTTATACTAATCATGAAATATTAGAGACTCAGCTGTCATCTAGTAAAGGGTAAAAAATAAAAATAAAAAATCATTACAAAGAAATGGTTATTTCAGCCGGGCGGTGGTGGTGCACGCTTTTAATCCCAGCACTCGGGAGGCAGAGGCAGGCGGATCTCTGTGAGTTCTAGGCCAGCCTGGTCTACAGAGCTAGTTCCAGGACAAGCTCCAAAGCCACAGAGAAACCCTGTCTCGAAAAACCAAACAAACAAACAAACAAACAAAAAAGGTTATTTCTTAAACCAGGTTCTTTATGATTGCCTTAGTGTTACAGAACAGTAGGGGGAACATATGGGAGAGAGGAGAGAGACAAAGGGGATTAGGGGAGGGGAAAAAGGAAATCACGAAAACATAACAATCCTTCATTCATTCTGAAGGATCACGAACATATTAACCTACAGTAAGCGTGTCAGTGCGAAGCCGCCAGCACACTGTGCTCCATACACTGAGGCCATTGCAAAGCACTCCCCAGCACCCTGCCAGGAGCATAGTCTAATTCTAGTCCTCAAAGACCTTTAGGAAGTAGAGGCAGACAAATCTCTGGAAATTCTAGCATAGCCAAGGCTACATAGAGAAACCCTACCTCAACCAAAATGAGGAAAGGAGTTAGATACTAGGCATGGCTGCCCATAACTGTGATCTCAGGACTCAACATGTGAAAGCAGGAGGATTAGGAATTCAAGACCATCCTGGGCAGAGGCAGGCAGATCTGTGAGTTCTAGGCCAGCCTGATCTACGAGAGCTAGTTCTAACACAGGCCCCAAAGCTATAGAGAAACCCTATCTCGAAAAACCAAAAAGACCGTCCCAGGCCACAGCTTAGGCTACATGAGGCTATGTATGTCTAAGAGGAAGAAAGGAAAGGAGAAAGATGAGAGTATATTTAACAAATGAGAAATGAAGAAGGAATCCCTCTGAATAAGATTAAAAGCAAATCTGCTGTTTCCCATCCCCTCCCAAAATGAGCTGTACTCTAAGAACAGGAGTGGCCAAGTCCAGCCTGAATCAGACTAAAGGTTACAAAAGAAGCAGAGTTATTAGCTGGGCAGTGGTGGCGCATGCCTTTAATCCCAGCACTCGGGAGGCAGAGGCAGGTGGATCTCTGTAAATTCAAGGCCAGCCTGGTCTATAGAGGAGTTCCAGGACAGACAAAGGCTACAGGAAAACTCTGTCTCAAAAAGAAAAAAATGTCTCAAATGTGACAGTGGTGCAGGCCTATAATCCCAACACTCAGGGGATAAGAGGCAGAGGATCAGGGTATATATACACATATACATACATACATTGAAGTCCTGCTATCTCAAAAAAGAAAAATACTCTCCTCAATGCACAAAGCCCAAAACACTATTTCTCTTTAAACTATGTGGATATATATATATATATATATATATATATATATAGTTTTGAACGAAAATAAATCTTTTTTTCTTTCAGGGTGGTCTTGAACTTGAGGCACTCCTCCTGCCCAAGCATCCAAGAGATAGGATGAGAGGCGCCACATCATGCCAGGCTGAAACTCTTACTCTTTAGAATTCAGAGACATATGTACTGAGAGTTACGTTCAAACCTCCACTAGAATTCAGAATGTTTAGAAATTAATTCTAAGTAGTAATATTTAAACTCATATCTTGCTACAATGCACCAGGCTCAGAAAAAGAGAGCCAATCAAGAGATGATTTATTAACAGGTAGACCATTCAACCCTCCACCACCAATAACCAGTGGGAGGAGTCATACAAATATTAGCAAAACATGGTCCCTGAGCCCTAGAAACTCCTATCTGAAGGTATATGAAAATCACCATCCAAATTTGAGAGTGCAATCGATTATCAACTCTGATTCCAGGAAGGCAGGCTGATACTGTGGGGAACCGATCACCCAAATTGTTTACACAACGTGGGAGGGGCTGGGTAATCAATGCCAGCTTTGGGGCCAAGTCCCATCCCGCCAGGGTCCTCCGCCCTGTACCGAGCAACTTAAACAGTGTCCTTCCACGGGACCGTGATCCTGACCGACACCGGACCCCTAGTCCACCAGCGGCGGGTGACAACTCACCGACTCAGCCGCGGCTTCCTGCTCATCCACCGCTAGGGCCCAGGAATCCGTGGCCATGGTCCTCCGTGCCGGGGCAGTGCTGGCAGGCTCGCCCGCCCGGGCCGTGCAACCACGGGCTCAGGTGGGTCGCGGCGAGGTCCAGCTCCGCCCCGGGGCAAATCATTCACTGCGGCGCAGACAACCGGAAGCGTCGCGCCGAAGTGTCGTCAGACTGGCGTCAGCTCTGCGCCCTTAAGTTCCTGGGACCCGGTACCGCTAACGCAGTCTTCGGGTCCCCACCCCTCATCTTTCGCTGAAGATTGCCCTACGACCCAACGGAGCTAGCCAGGATTAAATGCTCTCGTACTGAGGGAGGAAAATGAAACATCCAGCATGGTGGCATAGAGGAGCTCATATAACTATTACAGTCAGACTACATAGGCAAGCAAATAGTTAACTTTTCAAGTTATTTAAAATGCCTCAGTGAACAAACTTATCGGACTTTTAGCTAAGATCAAGATAGCATCTGTTCTGATCAATCCGGTATCTAAGAACTGGCACTCAGTTCCGTGATACAAAGGATTAAGTGCTCAAAGATCTGCACCAAATTGAGCTTTGAAAACACCAAAGGAAAGTGCCAAGGTATCAGAGACCAGAAAGAGGAAGTCAGTTTGTCCAACCAAACCAATTCACTTCCTGGGGAAAATGGCAAGAGCTGCTTACTAAGGAAATATAGGACTTTTGGAATCACCTATGCCTTCTTCAGATGGTCAGCTCTCCTCTCCTACGCAAAGGTGTATGGTTGGCATTTTATTTATTTAGTTTCAGATAATTTTTGAAAAGATTTATATATTTGATTAGCTTGCACGTCTATGTGCACCATATGTGTGCCTGGTGCTCAGGGAAGTCAGAAGAGGGTATTGGATACCCTAGAATTGGCGTTATGGATGGTTGTGTACCATGTGGATATTGGGAATTGAACCCAGGTCCTCTGCAAGAGCAGCAAGTGCGCTTAACCTCTGAGATGGCTCAGAGGTTAGCCAGCCTTAGTTTGGGATAATTTTTAAAAGGAAGAGGTAGCTCTAGTTTTTAGAATAGTAAATTAAGGACTGAAATACTTGCTTTCCCCTAACAGGGATCAAATAAGCCTTAGCCCTTGTTATTTCCCTAGAAGGAATCATCATTCTCCTGGAACTTCATGAAAACATTTTCCATGACAATAAATGAATCTCAGGCAATGGTGAGTAGGTTAAGGATTGAGCAGGCAGGGGGACAACCAAGCACACAGCCATGAAGCCATGACCTATTTCAAGTCAGAAGAAACCCTGGGAAAAATCAGCTAGAAAAACAGTGGGTTGTTTGTATTTTTCAAGGCTACAGAGGTTAAAAAATTCCAAACAATATAATAAAGTTAAACATTAAAGTATACAAGATGCAATATAATAGAATAAGTCCTACTTGCTCACCGGGATGAAACAAACTCACATAGGTGGGCAGACAGTACGAAAGTCATGGGAACACAACTAATGGGGCCACTTAGGAGGGGCTTCGCTAACTCCCAGTGATCTTGCCTCAGTCTCCAAGCGCTGGGATTACAGGCATGAGCCACACCACCACCTCAAACATCATTTTGAATTCATTTTATCCTCTGAGATTGTTTACCATGTGCTCAGATTCTTTTTTCTTTTGAAACAGAATCTCAAAAACAAAACAAAAACAAAAATTATACAACCCAAGCATGGTAGTGCAACCTACAATCCCAGTACTCAAGATGCTGAGGCAGGAGAATAAATAAGGAGTTGGAGATCAACATGTCCATTGTTTTTTAATTTAAAAACAAAAACTAGCTGGGTGGTGGTGCCGCACCCTTTAATCCCAGCACTTGGGAGGCAGAGGCAGGAGGATCTCTGTGAGTTCGAGGCTAGCCTGGTCTACATGAGCTAGTGCCAGGACAGGCTCCAAAGCCACAAAGAAACCCTGTCTCGAAAAACCAAAATAAAAAAGTAAAAACAAAAACAAAAAAAACAAAAACCACTTTAACGTGGTGATGCAAGTCTTTAATCCCAGCACACAGGTAGGCATATTCATATTGATTATGTGGTCACCCATGGTTATAACTAGTGAGACACTATTTATAAACAACGAAAAGCAAACAAAAAACAAATTTTGCTTCAGACAGAGGGAATAATATTTAACAAATACCTCGGTTTCTGGGGCATGGAAAAAGTGAGGAGATCAATGTGACCAGATGCGCTATGACCCTTTATCAAACTGCCAAACAATAATTTAAAAACAAGTCACACACACACAACAACTAGGCTTAAGAAAGTCCTACCTCACGGCTTAAGAAATAAAATGTGAGTTGGGCTGTGGTGGCGCACGCCTTTAATCCCAGCACTCAGGAGGCAGAGGCAGGCAGATCTCTGGGAGTTCGAGGCCAGCCTGGTCTACAGAGCGAGTTCCAAGACAGGCTTCAAAGCTACATTGAGAAATCCTGTTTTGAAAAAAAAATAAATAAAAACCTAGACTCTCGGGGGCTGGAGAAATGGCTCAGCGGTTAAGAGCACTGACTGCTCTTCCTGAGGACCCGGGTTCAATTCCCAGCACCCACATGGCAGCTCACAACTGTCTGAAGATCCAGTTCCAGGGGATCTGACACCTTCACACCAACGCACATAAAATAAAGTTAAATAAACCATAAAAAAAAAAAAAACCTAGACTCTCTGAGTCTACCCGTAATAAAGATGAGCAATGTGAAGAACTGAGAAGAAAGTTCCTGGGGTCCAAAGGGGTGCGTGGGGAAAGGCCCCTTAGGCACTTTAACTCAGCCTCCTGTATTTAGGTCCTAATTTATGGTAAGCAGCCATCCGGGTTCTGCAAGATCACAGGGCCTTGTTGCGCCTGGTGCCTAGCAGATGGGCACTCCCTGGCTTTTGCTCTTTCCCGCTCCCTTCCTTCTCACAGTGAGGAAAGCACCTAAAGGTGCAGAAGGAGAGCTACCTGCATAGATACTCACGCCACTTAAGGGCAGGGAAAGGGGATTCCGAGCTTGGGCTCGGGCTCGGCCTCGACCCCGCCAGCATCTCCGGCCACCACGGCTCAACATGGCGGTTAGGCTTTCTCAACCGCCACGCTCAGTGCGAGCCAAGCCTAAGATCCATTGGTTGAGGCTTTGAATTCCGCTTCTCCTAGCCAATCAAAAGAAGGACCGCGAACCGCTCTTGCTAGCGCGTGCGCACCTGGGAACGCTTGCCTCCGCCAGAAAAACCATTTGAAGTCTCAAGTTTGTCATTTGTTGCTGAGTTGGCCAGTGACTAGAAATCCCTAGACAGCAGTGCAGTGTGTATTTTTAAAGAAATACTGATTCCAGCCGGGCATAGTGGCGCACGCCTTTAACCCCAGCGTTTGGGAGGCAGAGACAGGCAGAGCTCTGTGAGTTTGAGGCCAGCCTGGTCTATAGAGTGAGTTCTAGGACAGCCAGGGGCTACATTGGGAGACCTGCCTTGAAAACAAAACAAAACGAAAAAGACATGGTTTTGTTGTGTAGCTCTGAAGAAAAACTCCTGTAAAGAAGCTATGTGTAGCCGGGCAGTGGTGGTGCACACTTTTAATCCCAGCACTTGGGAGGCAGAGGCAGGCAGATCTCAGTGAGTTCGAGCCAGCCTGGTCTACAAGAGCTAGTTCCAGGACAGGCTTCAAAAAAGCTACAGAGAAACCCTGTCTCAAAAAAAAAAAAAAAAAAAAAAAAAAAGAGGCTGTGGTTGACTGATTAGATATAATTTCAGTACTGTGTGAAGACTGGAATGAAGCTATTGCTTTATCTTGGGCTGGTTCTTGCCCTCTGGAAACATTGGTCCTTTACCCATCTCTCTGTTAGACCTAATGTCTTGTACTAATAGAGAGAAACCATTTGGAATCTATTTGCAGACCACCAAAAGCTAAGGATGCCATCAGATAACGTCTTGGGCCTATAGATATTTTCTGACATATCCACCAATGTGTTTTAAAATTGCCTTGATTTATGAGTTTATTCTGTAAAGCTACACATGTTAATGAAACAGTTTCCACGTTGGAATGAGTAATTTGGGGTTTCCTCATCTGTAAAAAGGAGACACTAGCCGACCTATGAATAGTGTTTAACAAGTAAGCTGTGTGGAATGTTTAGCGTAATGCTTCCCTATAAATTTTTGTTTGTATGGTATTTTGAAACCTAATATATTTTGAGTCTAATATAGCCCAAAAGTGGCCTTGAACTCCCATTCCCCCTGCCTCTGCCTCTCAAGTGCTGGAATAATAGGTGTGAGGCACCATTAAAGGCTTTACCTATGAATGGTGGCTGTTTTTCTAAAGCAAACGTAGGGCCAGATGTCTGTTGACTTATGTTAGGTCATTTCTTCCTCTTCAAATTCAAACTGGGACAAGAAGGGCAAACATAAAGCTAACCCTGGTGATACAGGACTGTAATCCCACCTACTCTGGAGGCTGGGACTAGACAGAAAAATTCCAGCCCAATTTGGACAATATATTCAGACCCGGTCTCAAACAGAGAGGTATTGGTAAGCGCTAAAGCACTTTCGCGTGGTTGAAGCAGTTACTGCAGTCCAAAGTACCGTTAAACAAGAAACACAGGGCTATTTATGGTGACAGAACATGTGTTTGGTGCACAGATGTAATCCTAGCATTCGACAGGCAGGGAGGCAGGAAAACCCCCTGACCCAGCCTTGTCCCTGTTTCAAAAGGCCATACAAAGAACCTTGGAGGTATGTACACCACTTTGCAGTTAAAACAGGAGTGCTGTACCATAATATGTAATCGCCACCAAATTCATGTTTTCATCCCTCTTGTAGACTATTAGGTCTTTACAAATGGAGCCCAAAATGTCGGCCTCTTAGAGCCAATAGGCAACCCTGTCATGTGACACCCCATGTCCCAGCTTTCTTGATCATTGCATCAGCCGAGCCCAGCAGCCTTCCCAGAACCCGGCTAGTAAACTCATTCGCGCTCCGAATGATTGGCTTGAGAGTGGACCAATAATATCTGTTGAGGACAAGGCGTAACGGAGCGCTTTTCAAAAGAGCGCTCTGATTGGATGGCGAGGTATGAGTCTGGCGCCGGTTGCGGCGGGTGGGAATAGCTGTGTGTCTGCGCATCAGAGGGAGCAGGTAACTGGGGGCATCTGGCGGTGGT